TTTGGCAAACTTTTCAAATCAAACCGAGTCAAAGTGACATTACTATCGATTATTTTGAAAATACAAAATATATGTTAATTATTCAAATTTTGAAAGATAAATTATCTCAAAATTCTTTACTTGAAACATGCGCGCTCTACAATGATAAAATATTCATATTCCCAAATAAAAAAATGTTATCTACCAAAACTTTTTTATTTGCCTACCTTCATTTTTATTTGTTTATCTTTGATAAGTAGTCAAACTATTTCAACTTTACTTTAGATTTTATATAGTAAAATTTTGGACTTTACAATCACTAAAAAGTGCTTTTTTTTTTTGCAAGACAACGATGCATTGGTAAAATACAAGTATATTTATATAGTTATTCATGGTCTTAGGTCTCTTTTTGTCTCATAGTTTGCTGACATGTACCCACAATCTACCCTTAGATATATATTCTCCCTTTGTTTGTGTCAAAATCGAATCTTAACTTGGAAAGATATTAATCCAATTTGACCAACATAATCCCTCGTTTTCTTCTGTGCCTTTGACGTATTAAATGATTGATAGTATGCGTCCTAAGATTCAAGTTGTGAGAACATGAAGTTATTTCAGATTTCCTAAAAGAAATTTTTTGAGTCACTTGCAAGTTCATTGTTATTTTATGTAACATGTCATTTCAGAGACTGGCCTGAATTTTGGTACAGAAGAGAGATAATATGGTGGAGTACAAAAAATGAGAGATGCCAGTTGCAAAATTACAAGTGGAAATAACTATTTTCATTGCACTTTGAAAACAGAATAAGTTTTTTCACATCGTCAAATGATAAGTTAATATTTTCACCCCATAAATTGCGAAACAACTTATACGATAAGTTGTACAATAGACAAACGAAGATAATTGATAAAGTGCGAAGCATAATCTCTCTTCTTTACCAAAATTCAGGCCAGTCTCTGATAAAGTGGGACGGAGGGACACGAAACACATTGTCACGGGAACAGTCGTTGTCCGGGATCAATTGACAGGGCTGAGAGAAACGGATGTAAGATTATAATTAACGCTTATTATTTATATTTGTTTTTGTTTTTAATTATAGCTAATTAAGTCCTATTGATTATTATTTATATTTATTTTTAATTTTAATTTTTTTATAGCTTAATTCCTAATTATTTTTTTTAACAGTTCGATTGGGTGCCGTATGAACAACATCTGAATTCTGATACGCTCCTGGACCAGTGTAGTGAAGAGTCACGCCTCTGGATGTATAAGGGGTGGATATTATGTTGGAACATCCGTGAACCGCACCAGCCGGATAGAGTCCTCCGTCGGTTTGGGAGACACACCATCGGGGCCAGGGAATGACTGGGAGGACATTTACCGATTGGGTCGACTTTCATTCCGAGCTTGGGAATGTTTGGGTCGAACAAAGAGATCAAAATGTCCTCCCAGATTACCCTGTGGAGCCATTCGTACAGCCTGACGAGGGTTACCTTGATTGGTTTCACAGTACGACTGTGAGACTCATCAGTGACCCTGCCAAGTACCCGGTGGTCCAACAGGACGGCGGCTATCAACCACTTGCAGAGCAAAATAAGTGTGATGTAAGTGTTCATAATTTGTGGTTTATTATTATTATTATTATTATTATTATTATTATTATTATTATTATTATTATATTTATTTTTATTTCATACTAATTACTTTGAATTTAATTTTCAGGGTAGCGCCATGGAGGGGGCTTATAACGCGTTGTCGAGTGTTGACCACCTATATGATGCAGCCCCTCTAGAGATGCAGGCCGCATTCCGACATGCCAAAAGCCTTCTCTACACTTCTCTGACTGTCGGAGGCGGAGAGGTCGCACAAGGGACGTCGTGGAGCCAAGTGCTATCTCAGGAGAGCTACGTCCGATCACAGAGGACGCAGTCACGCCGGGCGAGGCATCAACCCGCTGCCAACATTTGTGGAGGTAAAAGACGCTGTTACCGCGAACCCGTTGCCAACACCGGGCCTGAGGAAGAAGAAGAAGGTGAGCGTTTTTTACTTAACAAAAAAAGTAATTTTATTTATTTATTTATTTGTTTATTTATTTTTTGTCGAGTCGAATTTGTGATTTTTTAAAAAAATGAATTACTCGTGTGAAGAAGCAGAAGAAGCTGCCACGCCTATCACGACCACCACAACGTCGGATGGGTTCCCGAAAGCGCATGCCTAGGAATCCATTCACTTCTAGTTAGTATGTTGTGTATTCGGAAATTTCGTGGATTGAGATATGTTGTTTTTTTTTGTTGGATTCTGTGTACTGATAGTTGTGGAAGCGATCCCGACAAACAGGTGTGTTCTTTTATTTTTTCTGCACAGGTACTGTATCTGCACAGTAAAACGTATTCCCAAAATACGTTTTATGGTAAAATTGATTTTAGGGAAAAATTGATTTTAGGGCAAATTAGGTCAAACGTAAAACGTATTCCATAAATACGTTTTATTATAAAACGGATTTTGAAAATACGTTTATATTTTTTAACAAATTAATTTCTGCAATAATAAATTACGAAATTCATTTTATTTATTAAACGTATGTTTACAATATATTTTTAAGCTTTTTAAATTTATTTTCTACAATAAAAAATATATAAAATTAATTTTATTAATAAAACGTATTTGAAGAATACGTTTTTCTAATAAAACGTATTTAAAAAATACGGTTATTTTAAAAGACGTATTTTACAAAAACGTTTGATGTTTAGTTAATTATGTTAATCATGTAATTAGAAAATACGTATTTAGAAAATCCATTTTATAAGTAAAAACGGATTTCTAAAATCCGTTTTACTTTGTAAAATGGATTTTTAAAATACGTGCTTTTTATTTTGGTCCACACCCTTTTTTTATTTTTTATTTTTGTCCATTTATTTTTTTTTTAAATAAATAAATAATTCTTCATTTTTGTGCCTATTTTTTTGAAGTGTACAAATTGCTACTTGTTCTTTGAGTAAATTACACCCTGTACATAACATATCATTTTTATTTGCAAAATTACTAGATGTATGACATTAATTGCAAAATTACCAAATTTTAGAAAATATGATTAATTTAAAGATGAGATAAACTGCGTAATTAAAGGTAATTCCCCTATATTTTTCCTTCTACTGAGCCGACGCAGATTGAAAGCCCCATTCTTCTTCGCTTAATTTCTCGCCGCAAACCCTAGCTTTCGTCGTCCCTTAAAATCGATCACTCCCAGACTTTAAATCGCTCGAAGATCACAGCTTTGTATTGCCATATCTCAGCCGTCATCATTCATCGCCTACATAATCCCTCAGCCTGTCGCGCCTATCACCTCGATTCGGCCAACCTGCAGACGTCGTACGACCGCCGTGAAGGAACCAGTGAGCAGCGACGTTTTAAGCGGAGACGAGGAAATTTAGGCGACCTTCAGGCGGCATGACCCGTCCCCTCAGTTTATTGTACGAGTTCAAGCTCTTCGGTAGCTTCTGTAGCGCAGGTTTTCCGTTTCCTGGCCATGGTAATTGAAAAAGGGAACGATTTGCTTGTTAGGGATTGAAGAGATCGGCATATGATTCAAGCTGAAGATAATTTGGGGAGGACTGGGAGGCAGAGAAAAAAGGTCCTGGTGGCGAATTAATCTTGTGTATATCTTCTGTATATATTTTGTATATAAATCGAGCTGAAATTTGAATTTTGTGGTCTGATGTGTTTTCTGTATATGTTTTGTATAGTTTCTGTATATATTATGTATACAATGACAATATCGAATTATTTTTTGTATATTTCTTGTGTATTTTCTGTCTGTTGTCTGTATATAATGAGTATATTTTCTGTATATAATCCTGATTGTGTATTTTATATGTATTTAGAATATAACGTTGGTTGAGATTCAAATTTCTTATCTTTCTATTTTGTATTGAAACAATCTCTTAATTAATAGGATATATAAACTTATCATATCTTTTGTTTTTTTCTAGTGCAAATCATATATCCCTCATTCATGGCGCAATTTAAGGAACACATTTAATATATTTGGTAACTGAAATTTGATTATTCACTAATAAATGTAATGCATTTGATAGGAATGCAAATAAAATCTACACCTTGGTACAAATGCAAATATTTTAAAATCTTGTGCTAAACATAAAAATTCTCCTTGTTCTTTTCCTTAGTAGGCTTGTGTGTGCTTTTAATTTGTTTGCCCAAGTGTTTCAAAGAGCCCGGCCCAATTCTTTTTAAATCAATCTTCATTTATTTCTCGGCCCAAGAAGCTTAGCTCATTTCAGCCCCAATTTCAGTCCACGTAACTAGGGCTGGTATTTTTTGACCGAAAACCGAAAATCGAACCGAACCGGACCGAACCGATGTGAAAATTAACCGAACCGAACCGAACTGAATTAAGTGTATCGGTAACCGAACATCGGTTACCGAAACGTTATCGGTTCGGTATCGGTTCCGAACCCATAAGGGTTCGATTTTACCGAACCGAACTGATAACATTATAATTAAAAAAAATATTACTGCTTTTGATTAGGTATAATATTAGTTAAATAAAATAATTTTGTCTTAAATCTTAAGTCTTACCTATTAATCTAAGAAAAAAGACGGATAATATTAAAACTTAAAAAGAGTGGAAAATTTAGGGCTGGACTAGACCAAGACTTCTTCAATCGCCTCCTTCGTTCATCAATTCACAGTTCACTACTTCACTTCAGAAATTCAGAATCTCACATCGCCTCACCTTCACGGCTTCACAGCTTCGTCCATCAATCTTCCCTTCACACCTTCACGGCTTCGTACAATTGTTCATTAGTATTTTGTTTTCACCGAATTCAGATCGCCTCAGCCGTGCCCCAGGTAAACCCGATAATTATCTTCAATTTTGTACCTGATTAGGTTATGCAGGAGTAGATGAGTAGTGGACGAATGCTTTGAGTTTGAGCTATTTTATTGGTGATGATTCGGATATGTTGTTAGTTGTGACTTGTGATTGGTATTCACATTGTGTTGTGATTTGGATATGGTTTGTTGTGTTGTGAATTGGATTTGGAAGTTGGAAGTTTGGAACTATTGTTAAGCTTGTTATTTAATATTTTAATGTGTTGCTGATGTTCGTTTAAGTTTCTGTTCATTAGTTCATTTGTTAATCTGCTGCTGTTATTTCATGGGCAATGGCTGCTGCTAGTTCATTTGTTAATTCATTTGCTAGTTCATGGGCATTCAGGGGCATCATATTCATGAATCAATTCATTAGTTTATTTGTTACTTGATCAATAAACAGCCTCGGTTACTTAGCATCTGCTCTATTTATTTGTGTTGCTGCTGATCTGTTTACTTAGCATCATATTATGCTGCTCATTAGTTCATTAGCATCATATTGTGCTGCTCTTCTGTTAATTAGTCTCAGTTTTTTCGGTTTCTTATCGGTTTAAACCGAAACCGAACCGTTTTATCGGTAACCGACTTTTCGGTTACCGAATGTTTATCGGTTCGGTTTCGGTTCGCAAAATAGTAAAACCGATTTTTTCGGTTCAGTATCGGTATTATGGTATCGGTTCGGTAACCGAACCGATACCAGCCCTACACGTAACAACCCCCGCTCATCGTTTCCAAGCTCACAATATTTCAGTCGCCGCCAGTTTCTTCGAAGCCCTAACCGAGCTCCCCATTTTCCGGCCAACCCAGGTACCTCTCCAAGGTGAAACCCTAAAGCCACGAGATTTCCGCCGAGTCCCAGGCGTCTGACCGAGAGCAGGCAGCGTCGGTTGGATCAGATTTCCGAGGACCTGACCATTCGCGGCGGGCCTAGCAGCACTCGGCGACGAGCCTTTTTGTTTTAGCAGCAGCAACGGGGTTCCGAGCAACCGAGGTCGAGCTCTTTCAGCGGCTGAGAGAATCCGAGCACACCCGGTTGAAAGCCTCCGGCGATCCGAAAGCGAGAAAATTTTCCAGCCCCGCGATTTGTCCGATGTGCTGGTAGCAGGCTGGAGCAAGTCGAGCTTTATCGAGAGCACCGAGCCCCTGTTTCTTCCTTCTTTTTATTAACCGAGAAAGGTACATCGGCTGAACCCCTTCACCCTCATTTGGCCGTATTTCGTGCTTAATTAATATCTCAGTTTTTGAAGTGTTCAAATAGTATGCTTAAGTGTTAGTTATATTCAAGTGAAGAGACGACATGTGTGAGCAAGTTTTACTGAGAATTGCTGAGCCTCTTGGAGTGCCAATTATATGCTGTTTTTGTGTTGAATTTGAGAGTTAAAATTGGCTTTAAGAGGGGTTATGTCTGAAGCATTTTATATGGTTGTTATGACCTTGTTTAGTGCCTAGTTGTATTTAGAGTACTGAGCCGTGGTGATATGCTATGTATGCTGGAAATTTTGTGCTCGTTTCAGCGGTTAAAGGTTCAGTTTTAATGCCTTGTTGTATGTGGTGGAAAGCAGGCTTGTTGTGCTGTTTCTACATTGTTACTTTTTCGAGATTTTAGGGTTGTTAGTATGCGAGTATTGGGTTCTGAATTATGGCGTTTTCGTGCTAATTTTGTGTTTAAATCTCAGCTTCAAAAGCGTGCTTAGTATGTTGAGAAATTTTTTGACGAAGAGCATGTATAGGTGCTACTTTGGCCTAGTTTTGTTGCCTTGCATATCTGATGTTATTGCTGGCACTTACATGCTGAAGAATATGAGTTTCGAGGTGCCCAATTTCAATTAAGAACTTCTTAAAAGCATGCCTAATGTGTTAGAAAAACAGTTTCAGTAAAGTTAGGAGTTAGTAGAAGAGTTAGAAAATTTATGTACTTTATTTGCTCTTAATTATCTTAATTTCCTTAATTGCATTGTTTGCCTTATCTGCCTTATATATGTTTAATTTTCCTTGCTCGCCCTTGCTTGTTCTTGCTATGTCGCCGCCTTTTAATAATAAGAGAAAAATTATTTTAAATTGTAGATTAAGAGGAGTCGACCCCTCAATCAGAAGCACGTGCATTCACTCATTTCAGCCAGTCAGTAAGTTTAAAGGTGGGGGTTGTATACTATGGTTTATTCTGTATAAACATGTGGTAGTATAGTTTTTATATGCATGATTGTAGGCCGGTGGACTGAATGTGCTTTATGAGAGTTTACCTGGAGGCTTGAAATAAGAGTCAATAAGCCGGGTAATTATCAATGAGTAAGCACTTAAGTTTTCTACTAGCGGGATCGGTTGATGCCGAATGCACTAGTAGAGTTATTTATTAGCGGGACCGGTTGATACTGGAGGCACTAGTAAGTAACCATACCGACGTTCATGAACTTAGGTTAACGACGCATAATAGCTAATCAGCCGGGTAAATTATGGAGGCTTGAAGTAAGTGTCACTAGTCCAAATTTACATTGAGGCTTGAAGCCTGGGATGATATCAGTCAGCGGTGAGACAATAAGCTTTACATGTTCATATAATTATTATCTTATCTGTGCTTATATCGAATCGATGCATATTATGGTTCCTTTACTAGGTAAGTAGAATGCTCACCTCTTTTGTTTCCATACTTCAGGTTGACCGAGCACGGGCATGGTCATCAATTATTTATGTTTTTATGTTTCCACTAAATTTTTATGGAAATCATTATTAGTTGAATGTTTTAGACTTCCAACTACTTTGAACTATGTTGTATATTCGAAATTTTGATTGTTGGAAATGTTCTGATTATGCTTCGTTAAGGAAAAGAGTTTTTGCTCGAAGGTTAATTGTGGGAAATGTTTTCTAAAAGGTTCAAATTATTTCTGAAAAATCTTGTTCTTTCTTACATAAATAACCGGGTGTTACACAAACCACCTTGCCTGCACTTTTGCCTCCATGCATCGTATATCGCCATCTGTTCCAGTCTTCTATTCTCAAAACTTGAAAATATATTTAACCTTAACATTTTCAGTCATGCCACAGTTGCTTGTTGGCTTAACTATGTAAAATATGTTATAGAATTATTCATCTTATAATATTTAATTGTATTATAAGTGATGTGTATTAGTATCAATTTTATAATCTTATGTAGGAGAGAAGCCTGAATCTGTTTGTACTTAGGGTTCGCATACAACATTTTAGTTTTAGGTGGGAAACATTATTAAATTTACATTAATTACACCTTCTAAGAAAATTATGAAATTATTTCATGAAGCATGCATTTTAAATCTTCAGTGATCTGCTTCTTATGATATATTTTGGATTTCTGAATTTGTACTTTGTATGAGGATTTAATCGTGGACTCACAATATGAATCACATGCCTTATATGTGAGTGATATGTGGCTCGTAGAGTGGGAGAGATATGGGAGCTAAGGATTCAATTAAGAAGCATAAAAGATCGAAAAGTGCCGAGAAGGAGGAAGATGACTTCGAGATTGTGAGTTCGAAGCTTGCACAAAGAGGTCCCCGTCTTTTACTATTTTTTAATTATCATGGTTATCTTCAGCTTTATTGTAATTGTTCTAGTGGTTGTTAATGAGACTTACAGCAGAAATTTAGGTTGAACTAGGGAAGTGTATTTTCTTCTTATTAATGAGTAGAAAATGAATAAGGGAAAATATTGACCGTAGTATTTAAGTATGTGCAAATAAGAAATATTATACCAGAAAATTGCTACTGCGATTGTTTTGGAGGCAACTGTTGTGTTTGAAATTGTTTGGTGTGCATTAAACTTAGATTAAACTAGGTTTTTGCACTTCGTACCAATGAAAGCTGGTAAATTCCATTTCATTTCTTATCCTTTTATGTGTTTTCCTTCTCTTGTTTATTTCGCAGCTTGGCGGGGCTATTTCAGGTGATCATTTGTGATAAATAATGTGTTTTTGTTGTGCAGAGGAAAACTTGGCTAAGGGGAAAGGAACTCTGAGCGCCAGTCGTAACAGGAAAAAAAAGAAGACATCTTTGGTGGATAATTCCAGCAATGTTGATATCGAGAAGTTTGGATCACATAATATTCCAGGTTCAACTAACATACCTAGATATTTTATTAGTGTGTACTTCAAATTTTTAGAGCTGAGTCTGACTTAATCATGTCTACCAGCTGATGAAACACACAGAATCAGTGGTGGAATCAGAAAGAGTAAAAAGTGGAAAAATAGCAAACTGAAAAATGGCAAGATAACTGTATTGAATACCCTGGTTAGTAACGAAGTTGAAAGCAAGGATGCTGAAAGCCGACAGGAAGTAGATAAATTGCAGAAAGCAAAGAAGAAAAAAAGAAAAAGTGACCAGAGTATCAGCAAGGTTGGCGAATTCACTGAGAAGGATGATGCTTCTGAACAAACAAATGGTATGCACTAGAAGATACTCCTTTTTTCACGTTCTTTATGCGAAATAACCAAAATATATTGCTAGTGTATATATTCCAATTCAAGAAATGCTGGCATAAGCATTCTATCATTTCATGATACATGCCTACTGTAAACTCAGTGTCTATTTCAGTTGATGGCTGCAATTTTACGTGGCATCTGATTTTCTATAATATTTGCAAAGGATCCTTTACATTTTCATTGAGCGAACGGAGAATGATGGATGTGTCTCGTGTTCTTTATCGTGTTGCGATTTGTAAAAAATTGCATTGGCTAGGAGTCTTCATGGGTGTCTGTTGGGTTTTATACTATGTTTGCTCTTATGTAATCTCTATACCTCAAATTCAGGTGGTGATGATTTGTCAAGTCAGTTTACCCGTTTTCATATTTTTGATTAAATTGTTCTTATACTGCAGAATCTGAACATGAAGATCTTATTGCAAACACTGAAGTACCTAAGAATGCTGATACAACTTCCAAAACTGGTATATCTGATTGGAGAATGTTCAATCTTTTATTGAATGTGCTTTATTTTTCTGACTTATTTTTCAACACCTGCACTGGAGAAACTAAAATCTGGACTACTTGTTTATAGGTGAGTCAAAAAAGCCTCGAAAAACAAAAAAGAAGAATCGGAGAGTGAGAGATGAATTAGCCTCGGATAATTTGTTGGAAAGTAGAGGACAAGATGATCATGATGAAGTTTATCAGATGTCCTCGGGTGACGAAGATTGCTCAAAAGGAATGAAAAGTATGACCCTGCTTACAGGAATACCTTTCTTGTTTTTCTGTAATTCTTTTATAGTGCTTGCAACCTGGCCATATTCTTCATGTTAGGTGAAATGTTGTGATGGTCTTTCTATATCTTTTTTGTGTGTTCTCGGCTTATGGGAGTATGCTGGTCTATTTATATTTTCAATATAAATATTGGTTTCATCTTCATTCTACATGTGAAGAGGAAATTGTCAAACTTTTTCAAAGTAGGTTATTCTCCATCTTGGTTTTTTGTTATAGCATCATTTGGTGCTGTGTAAATATTGTTATGCATGGAGTTCGGCCAATTTTTAAATATAAGACGCTGGACTTTACAAATCATCATGTAGCCTGTAAAATAAATAATCTTGAATGTAGGGATTACATATTGAAAGTTTAGTACGTCTAATGAATGCAATCTAGTTAGCTTAGGTGAGTGAAACAATGGAATATTAGGTCGAACTATCCTCCTAGTATGTGTATTTAAAAAATTTTGGTACTGAGTTCTAAAGCTAATTTCGGGAGAGTAGACAATATTATTTTTAATAGCGTTGGAACTTCATATGTGTTCAGAATGGATCACTCAATACTATCAGAGTAGACCTGGGATCAAGGTGCTGCAGGAAAGGATTGATGACTTCATAATGGCCCACGAAGCTGAGGAGGAAAAGGTAATATATTTGGTTTTGAAATGTGCCACATCTCATTAAACCCTAGACCAATTAGGAAAAAAACCTGTGATAATGGTAAACTTGTAATCTGTAGCTGAAGATATTTCGTATAAATTGATCGTGTGTAAGTTCTATTGTTTGGAATTTGGGAAAACCTTAATTTTAGGTCCTTGGAGCTAAAGGAAGACCATCTTATGGCATTCCATGTCTACATAAGAAAATTGTTCTTTCTAGTTCATGAACTTTCATATTTTCAATTTTTATCTCATTGCAGGCAAGATTGGAGAGAGAAGCTCAGGCAGCAGAAGGTGGTTGGACAGTTGTTGTGCATCACAAAGGCCGGAAAAAGACAACCGATGCTGAAACTGGTGTTGCTGTGGGTTCTGTTGCCCAAGCTGCTGTTGTGGACAAGGTGGCGAAGAAGAAAACCAAAGAAGTCGGTATAGATTTCTATCGGTTTCAGAAAAGGGAAGCTCACAGAAATGGTACGTGTGCAGTTGCAAAGTTACTCATAAAACTTGATTTTGTTGTCACCTACTGAAACATATATTATAACTACTGTGTAATTGAGGCTCCTAGGTTGTTTAAAAAGATTTTTTTTTTTCTTTTTTCTGGTCTTCTGTTGCAATGTTTTTCTGCCCTCACAAGTTTGGTTTATTTCGTACTAAGATATGATTGAATTTGGTGTATGCAGAGATCATGATGCTGCAAAGCAAATTCGAACAGGATAAAAAACGGATACAACAAATGAGAGCTGCTAGAAAATTTCGTCCCTATTAAGTGGAGTTCTAGATGTTATTGGTACACTGGTTTTCTGTTCGTCCAAACTGAACTTGGATCTCACACCATAACTAACTCCCCATTCGAAGGACAGCTGCTCAAGTTCAATTCCAGTTTGTGTGTTCACATTTTAATATTTCGCTCAAAATTCATTTATATGTAAAACTTTGTACTTGCACAAGTGGGGCAATTGCTTATCCTGTTGACTAATTTTGCTGGCTCTCTCTCTCTCTCTCTTTTTTTTTTTTTTTTTTTTTT